TTTTGCTTTGACAGGATTCCCAAAATATGTTTATCAATACTAGTACTAATAATAATAATGATAATAATGAAATATTCACACAGACGTTCTCCAATAAGACAATCTAAAAGGAATTAGGCGGTATCAAAAGGATTACCTTGACAGCCACTGAGTGCTACCATTACCGAACCACTGTTCTCTTCAGTATTGTTCAAGTAGGCTTCACCTTTCTCACTTCCTCGATATATGCATAGAACATAGAATTAATCACCTGTGCACCGCGTCTGTCACATCTAGTGTTCCTTGAAATTCCATATCATAGAAACCATCACATTGTAAATTGATAATTGAGTTACATTAACCTTACTTAAGTTATCAGACGTTGAATTCTATATGCCGAGCCAGCTGATGCACAGATTATTATAACTGACATATTAATCAACGTTGGAACCCATTGAGTTCCAGATTCATTTTAATTGGGTTTGACTCATGCCAGGTTCGGCATCCAAACCAGGTCGAAACTGGTCTTGATGAGCATCAACCGTAAAAAGGGAAATCCAAAAATTTCCACACATTTTACACAGCTGGCTCCAGAGTGCCTCTGTGTGCTTCAAGAAACAATTGCAAGACGTTAGATTTAAATAAGTAGTAATTATCTTTACTAGCTGGACGTTTGTTATATGTGAGGGGGCCAGCCATTTTGAGAAAGCTTACAAGATCTTAGAAGTCTAACCAAGCGAACCCCCTATTCATCAGTGTTGCTTGTTAGAAATGACCCTCAATAAATTTTACATATTGTGAAAGTGACTCCCTCCAGATTGCTAGGGAAACTACAATTGTTCATTTATCTTTGCCTGAATGTAGCGAAGCGTAATGAAACAAAAGATAAATGGTTTCTTGAATTCCCAAGCACAAGTGCATTTGTCGGCAGTGTGTTTTAAGTGCCGGCGTGAGATTATGGGAAGAAAGTGTGATATGTAAACTAGCAAGTATATATTCGCTGAACAGTAAACAAGTTTCATTGTGGATTTTTACAAGCGGACAGTTAAATTTTGTTCTTTTTTATATTTTGGTTGAAATCCTGTAATCCATTTCCTCGTAACGATTTTAGTTGTGCTTTCCTGATGATTGACAGTCATTATAAGTGGTTTTGTTTATTCAATTTGCTTTGGCCGGATCGAACGTATAGAGTTTGTTTAATTTTTTGGTGTCTAAACAGTGTAAACAGTTGTTTTTGTTTTGTGATTAGTTGGTTAGTTCAATAAATGGGCTAAGAATTGTCTGCTTATCCCGCACCGCATTTCTGGTTGTCAGTTTTTTGGGTGCAGGGAATTCAAGAAATATCGTTACTACAAATGTGCTGAAATTCAACAAATACTTTATCTTCCGCAGGTATTTGTAATCTAGTCTATTAAAAACAAAAACAGCATTTTAAAGGGAAGGTCTTTCTTATGCGGGGTGATTACCACCAAAATGAGATGTATTATGTTGTTCTATAATGATCTTTCAGACTCCCCAGCTGGTGATATGTCCTCTCTATTTGGCATTGTAAATTTCATTTGTCCATTCTGTATTTTGTTATGTATTTACACATTCTATTATGTACTTCCACTTGACAATATTGGATATTGTATTTTGCTATTGACATGACGTTTTAGACTTCTGTGGTGATGTTTTCTTCTTTCTATTTGGCAGTGTAAAGTTCTGTATCCTATTGTGCAATTCTACATTCTTCTATGCACTAAAATATGTTATCATCCAAGATTGGGTAACTTTGGGAATTTTTTATTCTGTTTTGCGTATTATTACGATCTGTTTGATTTTGTGAAGTTGTATTATGCTTATGTCATATCCTGCATGGCACTCAGTGAACAAAAATTAAATGGCCAAGCAGGGGAATGGGCATTGTTCTCAGCCACGCTGCCATTTCCTGCCATCCGCTGTCAAAAATGGCGGACAATGTCGCCTGTCATGTTGCAGCCAGAAACCATCTTCGCAATGTGTCGTTTGATATTTTGAGACAGTTAAAGTTGGGAAATGGTGACTCGGACACCCTTGATCATGTGCAATACAGACTAGATTGTCTGTATAGAATTATACTCAGGTCTCAGGTATTTTGATGCTGGAATTGTTGGTGAAAGAGTAGTTACCGTTGTCGAAGAGGCTCTGCACTGTTGCGAGTTGAATGACACTCCTAGTTACTAAAACAAGGAATGACCTACAATGACCTACAATGAGCTACTATGACCAATCATGTAATCCCTGTAATGAGCTAAAATGAAGACTTTAGAAAAAGACAAAAAAAAGATCAGGGGACATGTGTGCATAAACGTAACGCGTTTAGTCTACTGCATGACAGCCCATTTAACAATGACAGCATCTCTAACTATATTATGCTTGGAGATAAATTTACAGGGTAATAATACATGTATGATGATACTGTGACTTTTGTCCAAACCATCCCCTGCAACCTTTCGCATTAGTTTTATTTTGTCTTCTCTTTCTTTCAAACAAATTGAACAAACACAGTCACCCCAACAGTCGATACGGGGGGATCTCCAAGGGACATAAGGGTAGAGATGAACAAAGGAGGCCTTCAAATTCCGACCCTGTTCAAAAGAAAAATTGTTCATTTTTTTTTAAGTACCCTGGCCTATATAAGACATCATAGGACCCTTTAAAGGAGAACTGAAGTAAAAAAATAACCATTTTTTAAATTAATGCTTAAGACCCAAACATTAATGTTTGACGTCTTTTTTGTGATTTTTTGCCTTTTTTCCCACTCGCAAAAATGGTTTTGCTCGCTGTTATGGGCCTTTAGCATTGCGGCTCAGAATCGGCCCGTCAGCGGTTGTTTTCGAAGCGTGTGATGTCACGCATGGGGAAGAAACGCGATGCTCCACAAAAAGCCAACTGAAGGTCTTTTAAGTTGAAGAACCCAAGCTCGATGTCCAGCTGTCTTCAAGGGAAAATTGTACCAAAAATGCCAAGGATAGCATATTCTAACAGTTTGCCACACTCTTTACTGTATAGGCTTAACCTTTAAATTCGGAGATAAAAGTGTGGATGAGGCGACGTTGGCGCGACACTGTAAACAAGAACCGTGTAGGTAACTTAGGTCTACTGTACATCTGTTTGAAAGACGTACGTGTAGCAGAAATATTAACAAAGTAAAAATACAAAATTTGTACATCAGGATTTTAATTGCTTGCAGCAACTTGTAAGCGTCGATTTATTTTGTAATTAAACATTCTCTTCTTTACTGTTTTTGGTCAATTAAAGTGTTCCCTGTATTACGAGCTGTACAGGTTACAAACTTTCCCGCTGGTGGCATTTATTTATTATTTGTAGACGCACCGGCAGAAGTTGCCATAATTTAATGTTTTAATGAGGTTTTTTAGTATGAAACTGGATCGTTTCGACGGTGTTCTGTGTTATTCTCGATCAGCTCAAAGGGCACGATGACGGGGCACTATTCTACAAAGCACGTTTGTTTGAACATGGCGCAAGTTGGCGATAAGTGAGTCCAACCTTTTGTAATTTTTTAGAGTTACGAGGAGAAATTTTCCGGTATTGCACAACGCGAACCGTATAAATAAAGTTATTCGTAGCACAAGGTTTACTTTCTATCGTTGTGTTCGTTGTCTTTCATAGTTAGTACTGTTATCGGGATATTCTAAATCTTTCATCATGGTCTACTGTAGCGCTGTGGGTTGCAATAATGATTCTCGATATGGTGGTAGAAAGCAAGGGGTAAGCTACCACAGATTTCCCACAGATGATAAGCTCTTGAAAGAGTGGCTGGCGAAATTATCCCGGCTAGATCTTGTTGTTACAAAAGATTCCAGGGTATGTTCGCTTCACTTCGAACCTGAATGCCACAAGCGTGACCTAAAAGCTGAACTTCTTGGACTTAAATCTACCCAACATCATTAGAAGCCAGATGCAGTGCCAACAATTTTCGACCACCGTCCGAAAAAGAAGCCGAGACTATCATCTGAGAGGCGCCTCCAGGAGAGATCTAAACAAGAGGTAAGGATTTTCAATTCGTATTAAAAAAAAAGAGTTTGCTTGCTGATCTTATAGTAGACTACTATTCACGGATGTTCATAAACGCGGTCACGCAATGTTAAAACCTGCAATAATAAAAAGGCCCTTTGCTGTATTTTGTCATTGGAATATTAATCATTTTCTAAATCTGGGTTGGTGATAGAGGCTAATTCCTTCTATTGCAGTTCATTAGCTCTGTGACATCCTCTCACCCTGCCCTACCTGTTGCTGTTGGAGAACCTAGTACTTCAAGTGCACGTGACCAAACAGCCAGCCCCAGTGAACAAGTTCTTGAGGAACCTGAGAATGTGAAGATCGCATCGGTTCCTACTAGCTCGCCTATAGAGACGCATGATTTTGGATGTCAAGTTAACACTCGAGGAGAGAGTCTTGAGAGAGATAGTGCTGAAATCAGTAGGGACCCAAACACCTGACTTCTTTGGTCTTTGTGACCAGTACACTCAGACGGAACCAGGCCTTTTTGATGGGGAAGCCTGGTTCTTTAACACTGACGAGGAACCAGGCAGTGAAAATGAGAGTATTGAAAATGTATCCCCTCACAAAGACCCATCTTATATCCCCTCTAAAAGTGAGGAAAGTGATGAGGATGAGGAGGAAGTTTCAATGGCAGTACCATCAAAGTTGAAACCTCAAACTCCCAAAATGACAGCAAATTCCTAGTATTTATGGAACAATTGGATGAACTTTTGCATCGATGCCCTACATGTGGGGCAGTAGTAAGCAAAAGAGAAACGTCCACTCGGGGAAGTCAACCATGTGTAACCCTAAACTGTAAAAATGGCAACAAAATTTTGGAAGAGTCAACCCATGCTCAAAGGGATGGCTGCTGCAAACTTGTTACTGGCTTCAGCAATTTTAATAAGTGGAGCAACGTACACAAAAATAGCATCTTTATCTGAAATTTGAACTGGAAAATTTTTAGTGAAAAGACATTTTACAACATTCAAAATATGTACTTATTTCCCGTAATTAATGAAGCTTGGCAGGCGGAGCAAAATTCTGTTTTCAGTGAGCTTGAAATTGAAGACCTCTGGCTGTCTGGAGATGGTCGATGTGACAGTCCCGGACACAGTGCTAAATATGGGACATACACAATGATCGATCAATTCAGTGACAAGATAATTGACTTTCAAATTGTTCAGGTTAGTGAGGTGACCAGCAGCAACGCAATGGAGAGGGAGAGGTTCAAAAGATGTATGGAGAATATTCATGACAGGGGAGCCAACATAAAAGTAGTCGCCACAGATCGCCATGTCAGTATATGGTCTGATATGAAAAAGAATTTTCCACATGTACAACACTAGTTCGATGTTTGGCATGTAGCAAAAAGTATCACTAATAAACTCACAGAAAAGGCCAAGAGGAAAGAATGTAGTGAACTTTTCCCCTGGATCAAGTCAGTCTCTAACCATCTTTGGTGGTGTTCAGACACTTCCGAGGGGGATAAGAATCTCTTACCTGAGAAGTGGATCTCCATTGTCCACCACTCAGCCAACATCCACTCATGGGACAGTGCTGACTTGTATCATGAATTTCCCCACCCACCCATCCCCAGCGAGGAGGCAAGGACAAAGCGGTGGCTTCATCCTGGTTCCCCTACGCACGAGGCTCTTGAGGAGGTTGTTTTTGACAAAACCCTCCTTAAGGACATCGAGCAATTAACGCTAAACTGCCACACTGGAACACTGGAAGTGTACCACAGTGTACAACTGAAGTACCTTTCCAAGCGGCAGCACTTCTCATACAAGGGCATGGTTGCTCACACACAGTTAGCAGCCCTCGATCACAACGCTAACACTGGGAGGCAGCAAGCTACTGTTTCAAGGGGCGAGAATGAGGGGGAACTGAGATATAAGGTTGTGTTCCCAAAGCAAACGAAGGAATGGGTTGCAAAACCTATCATGGAGGAGACAACAAGAGAACACTTAAAACCCATGCTTGATTCAATAGTAGCAAGGAAGTTGCAAGATGCTGCTGATCGGAGCGCAACACTCACAGCACCTCACATCCCATGTAAATTGCTACAAAACCTTGGCCTGCCAAAGCAGATGTCATTGCAAAGCACACATCAAGATTTCCTGATTCTATATAAACACACAAATACATATTTTATTGTTGTAGTACCAAAAAGTGCAATGTATGTATAATACAGGTTAGCTTTAAGTGTGTTGATTGAATTCAATCATATTATTTGGTTTTTCTATCAATCTTAATCCTTACTCTCTTGGGAGTGGCCAAACTATAGTCCAAAACATTTCAAACTCTAATATGTCAATTCACAAAAAAGGACTTATTTTCACCAGTAAAGAGATTTACCTGAAGAAATTTCACTTGAATGGCACCTCAGTTCTACCCGAAGAAATTTCACTTGAATGGTCACCTCACAGAATTTCATGCACAGAGTTATGTTCGTGATTTAAAAATACATTGACTTTAGGGAGAATAAGAGTTAAGATAAATATTTACATGTCAAGATTACATCAAAGAGGAGACAAATTTCGCAGATGTCCGACACAAGTCATGCTTTAATCATTTTTTTTCACTGATAAAAAAGGCGGCTGATTGCTCATACAAAATTGAATTTAAATACTGAATATTACTGTATTACTACGACCGAAAAATTTTCCATAACTGCTTTGCAACCTACAGGATTTCACTTATAATAACAAAATGCTGTTGATTGTCCGGTCAAGATTTTATTTTCGCAAAATACTGAATATTATTGTTAAAACTCGCTGAAATATTTCAATTACTATTTTGCAACCTTCTAATTATTCAATAACCAATTACCGGTACTTTAAATTTAAAAGGAGATGCAACAAAGTGGATTGAAGCAAAACATCACAATTTTTATACAGATAAGCTTAATTTTTATATGATTAGTTAGACAATGTACATGCATTTGCAAAGGATGAAATGATCTGCAAGGATTTTTATGCCCGGTAGTCTAGCGGTTAAGTGCAAATCTGAGGAGAATTGTGCCTTTGATGATAAAAGCACGATTTTTGGCATAGAGATAATAGAGATCTTAAAAAACATTTTTTGATATAGGGCCATCCCAGATTAATCCCGTGACCTCCATTACATTTATCTAAAAATGACGTCATCGGGGGCGATCTTTTTGCTTCATTTCAAGTAGAAATAGAGTAGTATTGCGTCCACTTTTTCATAAAATCCTTATTTTTCCCCTCCCAAACATCTAAAAATAATGGTATTCTTGGAATGGTAGCTGTAAATCACCGATGGTGCTATATTTCAGTTTTTATCCTTCGGGAAAACATAGAAGTAACGTCGTGATAGTCAAAATGGTCTTGGGGCAAAAAATCACTCACACATAGAGAAGAGTCTTGGGCATTTTAATATTATGCACTATAAATGAAAGTAAAAGAAAGCATTATGTGAATTTCACACTCGGGGAAATTTCGTAGCGTTTAAGTGAAGTCCATCTCGACCGCTGTCCCTAAGATTACATTCAGTGCTTTGGGAGAATAATTCAGTCACTACCAGCAATGTAAGTATTAAGTTTTATCTTATTTAACTGAGTTTAAAATTAGATTAGATTGTTTCTTTCATAGCCAAGAGATAAAGTTAAATTGACTTGACTTTTTTTAAATAAAAAGTTTTATATCACTTACTCCAACACGCACTATTTAACTTCGGTAGGAAAATTAACAGCAACAACAACTTGATGGCTTTTTATCTCAAGATATTTATGATTGCTTGTCAGTTTGAGCTTAAGTTTCGTTCGTTTCGTCCAAAGTTAAGCAAAATGTTTCTGTTAGCCTGTTATTAGCAAAAAGTTTTTCAGTCAGAGAACGTTTTTTAGTATTAGTTTAACAATCCTGGCTTTTACTGTTAAAGTGAATTAAACAATTAAATAAAACACCTAACCAAATTTTTCCTTGCGAGAAAAAAGAATTGTTATTGGTTGGGAACATTTCCCAGTGTTGTGTAGTCTAGTATTTATACATTGAATAGCAGAAACAATTTTGTATATGATATATATCTTCATAATTTTAAAGAACATGGTTACATATTCAAAAAATGTATACTTTCAGTCTTTTTAATATTTCATGAATTTCGGCTTTTCAGGTGAAAGAAAACTCTTCACTGCAAGCCGCCATAATTTTGATAGTAAAATGTAGCTATGGCAAAAGTTTACAAGGTTATCAATGACCCTTTACAACCTGCAACGGAAGCTTCTGATACGTCATGTTTACCAGTAGATTGGAAGAAGTGTATTTTGTGTCAGACAGACACATCCGAAATCCTGTCTTGTCCGGCTGATTCTAAGCTTATCGCGAAAGGAGCAGGTTATAAGACTGTGGCAGAAAATCTTCAAGCTTTTGAGAAAATTGGTTCTTTGCCTAAAACAATAAATCTGTGCCAATTAAATGAAGGAGAAGGAATCCAGGCGAGTTTCCAGCAACATAAAGCCAAATGGCATGACTCGTGTAGACTCAAGTTCAACAAGACAAAACTTCAACGGGCAGAAAAGAGAAAAGCAGCTCCAGATGATAGTTCAAGTTCAAAAAGCCCAAGAAAATACACGCGTAGAAGCCTTGAAAAGTTACCAAACCCTATTCATCAATGCTTCTTCTGTGGTAAGCAAGCTGAAGGTGAAGACTCCTTGCACAGAGCATCCACACTTGCGCTTGATGCCCGAGTTCGTCACTGCGCTTTATAGTTACAGGACAAACCTCTATTAGCCAAACTGAGTGCTGGAGACATGGTAGCTCAAGATGCTGAATATCATGTCAAATGCCTTGTTTCCCTTTATAACAGAGCACGAGGAACCGAAACATATAGTGCAGAAAGTGATGCGGATGCCGTTAATCATGGCATTGCTTTTGCTGAACTTGTTTCTTATATAGAAGATGCAAGAATGGACAATCTGGTAGCCCCAATTTTCAAATTGTCTGACCTAGTCAGTCTATACAGCAACAGGCTTAAACAACTTGGAACAGAAGTAGCGGGACGCATCCACTCAACTAAACTCAAGATTAGAGTGTTGAGCTACTTTTCAGACATGGAAGCTCATACCCAAGGCCATGAAGTTATTCTGGCTTTCAACGGGGATGTTGGTGCCGCACTGAGAAAAGCATGTGAACATGACGCTGATGGGGATGCTGTTCATCTTGCTAGGGCTGCCACTATAGTGAGAAGAGATATGTTCAGTAAGAAAATGGAATTCAATGGCTCATTCTCCACTACTTGCCAGGAACAGTCTGTGCCTAATTCACTGCTAGCACTGGTTACTATGGTACTTAATGGACCAAATATCAAATCACGTTCCTCCAATGTGTCTCAGGCTGCCCTTTCTCTGTCTCAGCTTCTTCTATACAACAGCGTGAAGCGCTACAAGGAAAATGATACAGATATTGTCTGACACAGCCAACAACGAGAAGCACCTCTACCAGTCTATTTAGGTGTGATGCTTCATACAAAGAGCAGGAAACGTGAACTTGTGGACGCTCTTTTTAATCTTGGCTTGTGTGTATCGTATGACCGTGTATTAAAAATCTCCACTGAGTTGGGAAACAACATTTGTTACTACTATCAGCAGAAAAAGGTTGTTTGTCCCCCTCGACTGAAAGGTGGTATTTTCACCACCGCTGCAGTAGACAACATTGACCACAATCCCAGCTCAACTAGCTCTCACGACTCATTTCATGGAACTGGGATATCCCTCTTTCAGCACCCCACTGAGAAAAACAATGACGAAAACAGTGGAGTTCAGCTGCCTGCTGATGCAATTCAGGACAATATACGTGCACAAAAGAAGGCATTAATGCTACCAGAGGTTTACACAACGGTGCCTCCTGTCGCTTTGCGTAGGGACGACCCACCCATCCCACAGCTTCAAGGGCCCAACAAAGGAGAGTGCCAGCGCATTCCTGAAGAAACAGTGAAGGAATACCGGTACAGTTGGCAAAAATCTTTTTTTTGACATTGCTTTCCTAGGTGACTGTAACTGCAGTATTAATAACTACAAAACTGATATTTTATTTGTACAATTTACAGGTGGTTGCAAGAGGTAAATCGAGTAGTAACTAATGAGACCGTAAAAGATGCTGATGCCGTTTCCTGGTCTGCATACCATGCAAGTCTGCAACTTTCTAGTAAATCATTTGAATGCTGCGTCACAGCAACCTCTCTACTGCCTCTTTTTCATGATCAAGCCCACTCCGTAGCCATGATCCGCCACTCAATGGACATTGTTAGCAAAGCAGTGCAGAGTTTAAATCCTGATCAGGTGCCCATTATCACTGCAGATCAACCTCTATACACAATTGCAAAGCAAATCCAGTGGAACTGGCCAGGAACCCATGGTGAGGATAAGTTTGTGGTGATGTTTGGGGGACTGCACATTGAAATGGCAGCTCTGAAGGCCATAGGAAATCTCTTAGACGGCAGTGGATGGGGAAGTGCACTAGTACAAGCCGCTGTTGCTACGCCTGGGAGGGCTGATTCATTTTGTCGCGTTACTCATGTGACACACACTAGAAGAGCCCATCAGATCACGGCTGGCAGTCTGTTTGTACTTCTTGAAAAGGCTTATTCTCAGTATCTTGTCAGCCTGAGCGACGACCAGAATCCACTGTCATTAGAAGAGTGGTGTTCGCACAGTGCAGAGCTTTATCCACAGTTCAAGTTCTGGTTGCTTATCCTGCAGATGCAATTGGCCGTATTGATCTACATTAGAGCTATTAGAGAAGCTGACTTCGAACTGTACGTTGACGCACTCACACAAATTGTTCCGTGGTTCTTTGCTCTAGACCAAATTCACTACGCTAGATGGATCCCTGGTCATTTACGGGACATGGTTACACTGAAAGACGTTCATCCAATTGTTTTTGCTGAGTTCATGAAAGGAAATTTTGTTGTAAAGAAGACAGAACGCAGATTCTCGGCCATAGCAATTGATCAAGCGCATGAACAGAACAATGCTTCTGTGAAAGATGACGGAGGAGCTGTTGGCTTAACGGAAAATCCGGCTGCATTGCGGCGGTGGATGGTATCTGGACCAGAGATGGCCAGAGTTATTGAAGAGTTTGAAGCATCAACAGAGAAGAGAAAATGTTTAGATTTCCATCATCATGAGGAGGCCAAACACGCACAGAAAAAATTTACACAAAATGTTGAAGATCTCGCCAAAGCCATCGAAGAAATGGGAAATCCATTCACCGAGAACAGCAACGATCTTCTTGTTCTGGACAGTAGAGACCTTGCAGATCCAGCCATTATTGATTCTGTTCGTAAAATTGAGAAATTGGGACAAGAGCAGTATGACATCTATGTAGGAGAAAGGCTAGTCAATCAAACAGAGTCCGTCTGGGAGCCTATCAAGAAGAACAATTTGGCACTATTTAGCCGACCTCCAATCCGAGAAAAGACAAAGTCGCAGCTACAGCTTGCTTCCCTGAAAAATGACTGCTCCCTCTTTTCACGGTCTTTACGTTGCATCACAGGTCCGCAATGGGAATCTTGATGAATTTTTCGAGCATGAGAATCAGGGATACCCTCCAGCATTATCACAAAATGGCAAGCTGAGAACCGGCACTAAGTCTGACCTTGTTAGTTGTCTGGAAGAACTGGTTAATTCCCGCGAGAATGCCACTCATCCCAGTGTGGAAGTTATCATCCTCGATGGCTCTGTCATTGTAAACATGCTTCGACCAGGTTCAGCAAAAACTTTCTCAGATTATGCTTCGCAAGTTTTTCTTCCATACGTAGCGTCCCAGCTGCAGCAAGCAAGTAGAATTTACATCGTTTGGGATGAGTACCGCCCTGACAGTTTGAAAGCTGAAACGAGGGTTAAGAGAGGAAAGGGAGTTCGAAGACGCGTAGAGGCTTCAACACCAATTCCAGGAAACTGGCAACAGTTTTTGCGCACTGATGAAAACAAAGTAGAACTGTTTAGTTTTCTAGCAAGAAGAGTGCCATGCATCGAAACCGAAAAGCAAGTTCTCAGCACTATTCAGTCTGATGTAGTTTGCACTCAGTCAAAAAATGTTTCAAGGCTTACCCCATGTACACACGAAGAAGCAGATACCAGGATCATCTTGCACTTGGAGGACGCTGTCACTGAAGGATTTAACAAAATATCCATTCGTACCGTTGACACCGATGTAGTGGTTTTGGCAGTGGCAGCAGCACAGTGCCACGGAAACACTGAAATCTGGATCGCGTTTGGTACAGGAAAGAGTTTCCGCTCTTTGGCCGCTCATGAGATGGCTAGAGTACTGGGACCAGACCGATGTATTGCCTTGCCGATGTTCCACCCCTTTACTGGGTGTGACACAGTTTCATTTTTTGGAGGAAGAGGTAAACGAACTGCGTAGGACACGTGGAGATCCTACAACGATATCACATCGATATTCGTCTCTTTGGCAAACACCCCAGAGTCTGAGGAGAGTTCAGTTACATCACTGGAGCGATTTGTGATTTTGCTGTATGATCGCACCAGCAGCCTAGAAGACATCAATCAGGCCAGGAAACACCTCTTTGCGCAAAAAGGGAGGTCGATTGAAAACATTCCACTGACGAAAGCAGCCCTGGTACAGCACATCAAGCGGGCAGTCTATCAAGCTGGTTATTGCTGGGCACAAGCGACGACTTCAAGCCCTGATCTCCCATGCCCCAGTGAATGGGGCTGGAAAAGAAAGGAGCCATGCAGCTGGGAAGCCAACTGGACCTCACTGCCAGAAGCAACGGTGGCCTGCAGAGAACTTTTGAGGTGTGGTTGCAAGAAAGGTTGCAAAAAGAACTGCAAATGCTCAAAGGCTGCTCTGCAGTGCACAGCTCTATGTCAATGTGGTGGACAAAGCAGTGAGAACTAGGATTTTTCACGGTGAAACAGCATTGAATTCTATACTTTCTACGCTTTCTATTACATGTAGCTTTTATTCATGGTAGTAAGGATTTCTTAGAACGAAAGTCGTTTTTTTCCATTTCTAAAGTGGTGTTTTTAAAACAGCAGGAAATCAGTTTTTCTATACGAATCTGTCCCTATGTTCGTACCAAGCTCTATAATCGAACATTTGCAATAGTTTTTTCTACACCATCATGTTGCACTTTTGTCAAGTGTATCATAATTTGGTATAAGAGAACCAAATTCTGTATTATTCTTACTTTTACCCCATGCTTACACCTCATTTAGTGCTTACATGACGTCTTTAAGTAATAAGGTTGTTGCCATGACAACAGTAAACGGCTGCGATGTGAGTATTGTGATGAGGACACAATAAATACGGTATAAGAAGCATCCTGACCTTAAAGTGTAATTTACTTCGTTAACTGCTATAGATTTATTAATGGTAAATGTAAAAAGGCGACGCCCTTTTTAAAAAACGCCGCCATGTTGGTCACATGACTAATCTGCGATGGCCCTATATCTAAATTTTTTTAAAAAGATATGAGCTGCAAGTGTGCCAAGTTTCATTCTTTTATCATAAAAGGCACAATTTTTACTCCCAACTGCTGGACTACCGGTTGTCATAAGGTAAAACAATGTTTACACGCCAAGACCAGGATTGTTTACCTGAAACTAACTGAGCTCGAGTTCTGCTTCCTTGAACCCGGCATATTGTCCAGTTTCATCGGGAAACTCGTGTCGAATGGCTTTCACAACACACGCTGGAATCACTCGCCGATTTTTTTTTCTTAAGGCGCCATGTGCCCACCATGTAAACTGGCGATAAGCTGCTAAGCGCCAAGTTCTAGGAAAATTGAAAAAGCAAAATAAGCATAAATAGAAAATATTTCATACAGTACACAGTACACGCTTGGTGGTACGATCCTTCGGGCCAAAAAAAAAAAAAACAAAGCAACAACTCACCTGTTCTCAATGAGATCTGGCAAGGGATTACAGCGTATGTTGTGAATTGCCACTAGAGCAGTATTTAACACGTCAGTATCAAAGCAAACAATCCTGAATTTGGCGTGCTCCGTAATACATCCAACTCCTAACTGACAAAAACAAATAATGAATAATCCTTTTGACCGCAATGTCCTTCTCAGTATTCGTAGTGTATACATCGAGGGAAAAGAAGCAACCTAAAACAAAAACAAACCTGATTCACTGAACTTTTGATTCAGTTCCGCCAGTTCTTGGCAACAAAAACACTCTTCCTCCGTTGCCATTGCCTCGCATTCTTCACAAGAGCACCATTCGGTGCTGCCGATTCTTCCTCCCGCATCTCGTTGATTTGTATCACCTGACTAACTTTCTTCCTCCAGATCGATTGGTTCTTGGCCAGGAAGGTACGTGGGCTCAAACTGAAATGGTTGAAATCTGCTCATTACGTTAAATCGATATTTTTTACTGAAACAGATGCTGCGAGGAGATCCAAAGGTTGATGCTATAAGTACGCGCTACTGTGCGATTGCCAGCCTTCTCCATACCTTACGTCATAACATGCCGCTGACCGTTAAGATGAGCCCACGATGATCGGGCCCAAAAGGTGCGAAAACCAAGACTTCAAACCGATTTTTTGAGCAAAAAATAATAAACGAACCAGAAGAAAGAGCAAAACTCAATTTTTTTACACCTACAGCCACCTAAAAAAAATACAAAAATGGACGGATTTTTTACTTCAGTTCTCCTTTAAATGGCTTGCGGTCCAACGCGATGCTCTGTTTGTAATGCTAAAATTAATAGTAAAATCCATATCCTGCTCAGCGGCCCATACCCATCTAGGCCAAATAAGGGAGTGCTTGCATGACTTCCATCAATACAGGGTATAATAGTGCTATACCGGTAAAAACGCGATTGCAATAATCTATTTTCAAGTTACTCAAGTTACCTGAGATTAGGCACAATTTTTGTTTTCCCTTTTCAAAATGTGCTTGGCAATTTAATACTATGAGCCTAGTGTCACGTCCAAGCGCGACACACAACAAACATCATTGTCTGTCATTTTGTAGCTCATTGTAGGGCTCATTTTAACTCATTTTAGCTCGTAGTAGCTCATTGTAGGTCATTGTAGGCCATTGTAGGTTATTCCTTGTTTTAGTAACTACGACATGTCCCCTGATCTTTTTTTTTTGTCTTTTTCTAAAATCTTCATTTTAGCTCATTGTAGATCATTGTAGGTCATTGTAGATCATTGTAGGTCACTGTAGGTCATTCCTTGTTTTAGTAACTACGGAATGACACTTCTGTAATGTATCATGCTGGAAAGGTGTTTAAAGGTAATCCTGGCAGACCTAGGTAAAATATTTCTGAAGAGCAACGTGAATTCTTGTTCATAAGTTCATAAGTGGTTTAGCACCACCAAAATAGCCACTGCAAAAATTAGGACTCTTGATTTAAGAAGTGACTTTTCCTTACTCGCTTGTAAAGAGGGATATCACCTTGAAATAAGGTTTAGAATACTTAAAGTAAGAGTTTCAAGACTTGTGTCAATGTATGTGATCTTATTATAAACAGATCATAATCTAATTCACCTTAGAAAAAGTGTCAGGCTATGTAAATTGCACTTAAAGGTACATTCCTCGATGTGTACCTTAGAGCAATGGTTGTTCCCATAACAAATGCCCGGGGGGGGGGGAGGTACTTAAGGAATTTCTGGGTGGGATGTGCTGCTGGGACACTGGAACCCTTAACCTATGCCTGAGCTAGTTCAGCTGAATTTTGCTACTCTATACTAGAGTAAACTGACAAAAGAAAGAAGACTGAATAAAGGACTGACAGGAAAAACGAGAAAGAGGCATATTCATCATGTCCCTCCTTTGCTCTACAGGCTACAAGAAAACAGATTAAGGACCTCTACAATGATAAGTTTGCTAAACACACTGTTCTTGTTGATCATGATTATTATCTACCTGGCAAACATAAAAGAAATGACCCTCAGACAGAGGTAGAAGCTTCTAAATGTGAATTAAATCATCTTTTCAAGAAAGCCCCAGAACATTGTTTTGGGAAAAATCAGTGTGAGCCGCTAGACATCAACTTCCCACCAGACTTAATCATTTCCCAATCTGTAGCAATTTCTAACTTACCTGAACAACAGACTGAAACTAGCATGATTGTAGAAACTGAAACTGATAAAGCTATGATTTCTGAGGAAACTTTAAATGATGATCCTGATTTTCAAAGCAATGGTAACTTTACCATACCCAATCCCACACAGTGCTACCCAGATGACTTGGATTTAGCTGATGAGAACTTTATAGCAGTTTGTAAAGAGTGCATGAAAACCATCAAAATAACTAAAGATGGTATCAACACTGTTGAGTAAAAAACAAGAGGGCAATCTAGCAACTCAGATTGGTTTCAATTCAGATGTGGAAGACTAACTGCATTGAAATTTGGTGAAATCAGTAACAGAAGAGTAACTACACCGCCTGATAGGCTTGTGAGGGATGTGTTTCAGCACAACTGCAGGCCAAATATACCATATCAGTGTCAAGTACGGTTGCAAATGGAACCAGTCATCATAGGTAAATACATTCAACATCAAGAAAACAACGGTCATGAGGGCATCACTGTCAAAGATAAAGGCCTTGTTATTGATAAGGATAATCCTGTGCTGGCTGCAGGTGTTGATGGTGAAGTCAGTGATCCAAAAATAAATATCATCCAATTGGATACCTTGAGGCAAAATACAACTTATTCCCATCAAAGTTAAAGTGGATACAAAGCAAACTTCATTACTTAAAGTTGTTGCAGAACACACCAAGAATTTCTGCTTGGAGATTACAGAATCAGGAATCAGACTCAAACAAAAACATTCATACTATAAACAAGTTCAGGGGGGTATGACAATAACTAGAAAACCAGGGTGTGATTTTGTTGCGTACACTTATTTCATGAATCGTGAGGATATACACATTGAAATAATTTTCTTTGATCCCACATTCTGGCAAGTACCAAGAAAAAGCTTCTTGACATATCTCTATGCTATGGTTCCTGAGCTACTAACTGGATGCGTGGAGAGGAATCCCTATGTACCCAAACATCTTTTTCAATAAGTGACTGAAAATAATCACCCCAGGAAATAATGTCTATAGGTTTAAGAACTATACAAAGAGTTGATTAGGTCCAATGCCATCGGTTGGTTAACTTGATATTACATTTATTCACCCATCTAGCGTTGCAAGAATGTTGTGAGTTGACAGGTGATTTTTTAAAAGTGGCAATTTTTAACAGTTCATCACATCTTGTAAACAACTACCGAGCAGAATAACCAGCCTCTACAGTTAAGTAGGTGATGGTTATCATGACAACTGGCCACTTCTGACAAACCTGTAATATTTTAAGTACCTTCACCTGTTGCATGAAAATTATTTTTCTGGAAGATATACATTTGCATTAAGTTTAAATATCTCCTCTACTACTACTGTGAAACTACAAATACCATATTTCCTTAATGAACCCTTTAAACCCTGCCATCAGTATGCATATTCTCCACACTGTTTTCATGCATTTCCTATGCTACCAATAAGAATTTTTTAAAGAAATGTCGAAATCTTTTCTATTTGGTGCTTATTTCCCTTTTTGCACATGTCTACTTTATCAAACACTTATTGGCTAAATCCTGTACACCAATACTATGTACCTTGTATTTCTCACAAATTCAAGAACTTATGTTAAAAAGATGAAGATGTTGACAAAATTTGGAAAGTTTGCTGTTTACTGGCTAATTTCAAGGGGCCACTGCTAGCATAGTCAAGGCCCCTTGAAATTAGCCAGTAAAGAGCAAACTTTCCAAATTTGTCAACATCTTCAGCCATAGAATTTGGTAATATCTGTTTAAGAATGTTAAAGTTTTTCACGCTTTTAATAGCCCGTTCCACGTGTATGCAAACTGATGCAATCTCCCTGGTTTCATCTTCCTCATCAGGATTTAGCTGGTCTTTACTTCTCGTGAAGGTTGGAATATTAACGTAAACTTTCTTTGGGGCTAATAGGTCTTGGATTTCAAAACCACGATCTGCCATTACTGCATCATTCTCTTCAAGAAGATGAAGAATGCCACAATGCTCAACAATAACTTTGTCACGACAATGACCTCCAAACAAATCTGACACAGAGGTTAAAGCACCATTAGGTGCTATTGCAACAAGGCCCTCGGCTGTATTGTGGGACTTATATGAGGAGTAAGTTTCCGATTGTCCACAGAAACATGAGGGCTTTTCAATGAATAATTCAGTACAGTCAAGGACGACCCTTGTGAGTGGGTATTTCTGCCGAAAAACTTTGGGCATTGTTTCTTCAACTGTTCTTCTTGTAGCCCAAACAGGAAGTTGAATTAACCTTGAAAAAAGTAAATCGAGCCAGGTAGCGAAAATCCTTGAGACCTCTGATACAACAATATTATAGTTATCAGCCAGTACTTTCTCTGGTATATTAACCCTCAATCTAAACAATGTCAGACAAAGCTCGTCATCAGGCTCTAAGAAGCACTTTTCTCCCTTCTCTTCTATATCAAGTAATTGTACCTTGGCATAATTAGAGCCCCAGTAATTTAGACGATAACAAATACCATGGGAATTTAGGAAATTGAATAATGCTACAAACTGACCAAAGGTCAGGCCAGTGTAGAAGATCATATCCTTTTCTGATTCTTTAAAACGCTTTAAACCAAATTTAAGGATGGACAGATCCCGTTCGAATGATCCTTTTAAACCTAGAACATTTCCCAGTTCTTCTCTCAATTGTCTAATCTCTTGATGATCAGGCTCGGACTCACCAGCCTTTGATGTAGCGGTCAAAGCTGGTAAACTAGGTGAAGGCTGCATCTCTTGGTTGGATGTCGAAGATTTGTTAACAATTAGTCTTCTCCTTGATTCAGGTGACCGCCAGGTATCCTCTCTGTTGCTTTGATAGTGATGAGATAGTCCAGTTGCAGAGTACATACATTGTATCCATATTTGGATCTAACCACAGCCTTTCTCAACTCTACGTACAAGAAGTATTCATCTCTGTGTGTAGGCGAGGAGCACTTTGGCTCTGGTTCTGAAAGCCGCCTTTATAAGCATGCAAGGGTGATGGTGTCATGGGTTGGTGATGAAGGCGAAATTTCGTTCAGAATTAGCAGACCGGGCCAAGTGAACTATTTTTTTGAACATTCATTTGTTATTGATAAGAATGGACATTGTTTTGCTTGTGTGCAGTGTTTTAAAGAGTATCCCAACAATTCGCTATTTAAGAACCCACTGTCTGTTTACTATGCTAAGGTATTTAAACTTCCCGGTCCTGCAACATTCATCCCTGTTCAAAGAATTCAGTCCGGATTTGTTGCTATTAACAGAAGGTATACCAATGTTGATACTGTAATCGTGTGTCCTCTTCTCCCGAGGACCTTTATTTAGAACTCCGATATAGTATGCTTGTTATAACTTAAAATTTTTACATGTACCTACATGTCGAAAAAGGTTGTCGAAAATTTATTTCTCATATACATTTTGCAGTTTGTTATAGAATGAATACTACAGATGTGTATTTCATGTACTGTTCATCAAAGTGTCACTGGCTTTAACATTGGGCTAAAGCTAGTGGAGGTTTCTTTGTTTTGCTGCGCAAATCTCAGCTTTGGGTATATGCTTCAAATATTCTTAAAATTTCCCAGATAAAAAAAGTGTATCTCTGTGAATGACCACTACCATGACCACGACTTAGTTTTCCATTCCGGCTTTTGTTTACTTCACCAAATGGTTCGTAAGTAAAACGCTTGAGCAAGCCGAATCTTGTCGAAGTAAAAGGTGATTGTCATTTAGACCTATGATTGGCGCCACAAAGAGAAATTAAAACGCCCCATCTTACTTCAGTGAAATCATTTATTTGTTCACAATGCTAAGAAATATACACTCCGAGAACGTCTAAACTAATTGGGAATTGACTCTTTCTCTTGACTAAGGAAGAATCTTTGTTGGAAAGCTCACTACAAAAAAACACCCTTGATTTCACTTTTTAGTGCCACGTTTTGGTGCCCTTCGTTTAGAAGATTTGGGTAGAATATACATTAAACGTAAAATTGTATCATTTTAGTCTTTTAACTTTCAACGTAAAAAAATAAATTTTGCAATAAAAACATACCTTTGAGGCTTGTTGGTACAATCCAATTCACCATTTTCATGTCCCAACATGCTGAGAGGAATTTGTTTTTGTCTATTTTGCTGTGGCAGGTTATATCAAAAGAAAGCTAAAACTTCCGAGAAGTTGAAAATGGCGGTCTTTTTCGCTTCTGTTGTACCCAGCCCTTTAACGAACCGCTTTTCTTCAAGCACCCTGGATCAAAGTCTCATATATTACTACCCACACTGCCCTGTGCGCATTTTTGGCCGCCATTTTGAAAAAAAATCGCCATACTCTGATAAGCCCTTGAAGGGGTGGTTTGGCCCCGCCGTGTATAATATAAAAAAGACAGTTATTAATATTGAATCCTATAAGAAAATCAGTTGAGAAACTAATATTAAATATCAAACACGTAGAATCAGCTAGATTCCTGGGAGTCCAAATAAATAGAAGTCTCACCTGGAAAAATCAAATAACTAACATTTGCAACAAAATTGCTAAAACGACTGGTATTCTTTGCAGAGTAAGGCATTATCTACTCCGGAATGTCATGCAGGGTTTATATGATGCTTTAATCCATCCATATTTGAGTTGAACGGGCAAGGGCCAATTCCAAAAACACAACATGTTCACGATCAGCAAATGTTTTTACTGTTAACGAACCATAAAAGTAAATCCCTAAAAAGAGCGAAACAATAATAGTTACAATACAGAAAAACTACTTGAGGGCGACTGCAAAATGAAATTAATGAAAAACGATGAAAACGAAGCTGCATACCAAATGCTGAGGATGTCGGGGCCACCGAGGAAAAAACATCTACTTCCACTAATGCTGTTTCACTAATAGACACATAAACTGGTAGAAAAAAGGCGAGATAACAAACTATAACGAAATTTACATACAGAACGTAACAAAGGAGCGTAATAAACGGAATACCGGAGAGCGAAAAGAAAAAGAATACACGATAACAAGTAAGTGAGAAAACGAAAAACAAAAGGAAAAAAATTTGCCCCAACATGAATTATGGTAATATTACATGGGGCAAGCAGGTAGAATCAGCTAGATTCCTGGGAGTCCAAATAAATAGAAGTCTCACCTGGAAAAATCAAATAACTAACATTTGCAACAAAATTGCTAAAACGACTGGTATTCTTTGGAGAGTAAGGCATTATCTACTCCGGAATGTCATGCAGGGTTTATATGATGCTTTAACCTATCCATATTTGAGTTGAACAGGCAAGGGCCAATTCCAAAAACACAACATGTTCACGATCAGCAAATAGTTGTACTGTTAACGAACCATGAAAGTAAATCCCTACAAAGAGCGAAAAAATAATAGTTACAATACAGAAAAACTACTTTAGGGCGACTGCAAAATGAAATTAATGAAAAACGATGAAAACGAAGCTGCATACCAAATGCTGAGGATGACAGGGTTGGTGGTCGGGGCCACCGAGGAAAAAACATCTACTTCCACTAATGCTGTTACACTAATAGACACATAAACTGGTAGAAAAAAGGCGAGATAACAAACCATAACGAAATTTACATACAGAACGTAACAAAGGAGCGTAATTAACGAAATACCGGAGAGCAAAAAGAAAAAGAATACACAATAACAAGTAAGTGAGAAAACAAAAAACAAAAAGGAAAAAAATTTGCCCCAACATGAGTTATGGTAATATTACATGGGGCAACACGCATAATCAAAAAAGACTACAACCAATAAGGAAACTACAAAAGAAAATTATAAGAATAATAACTTTTTCAAAATTTACAGATCATAAAAGTCCACTCTTTAAAGAGTTATCAATTCTACCTTTAGATGACATTAACAATTTATTAACTCTCAACAAAGATATTCACAAAAATATTACAAGATCATCCTCAAACGTTCATTCAATACAGGCACGCACTAACTACTAAAAATACTAAGTAAAGTATAAAGGAATATTAATAAAGAAACAACTTGAAAAAATCCATTAAAGACAAAATCATTCTCTTAATTTAGGAAAAAAATCAACTCGTTTTCTCCTCAGATAGAAAGATAAATACATGTACATGATATGGTGGCCCGTAAGGGAAATTGCAATTTTTTTTTTTCTTAAGTTATAGCGCGATAAATGCGAAAAGTTAAAAATTGTTGCGCGATAATTAGTCAGTTTATCGCGCGATAAATTGCAACGTATCACATGATAAAGAGAAGCTGGAACGTTGCATGCACGTGGAGAGAACTGGAGCTGGAGAGCCTTCAGGAAAGAGATGGTTGCTGCTGTGGAAGAGGTTTGTATTGCATCAGTTGTTTACGCAGAATAACACTAAAAACTTGAAAAAATTGCTACATTTTATGAAACTATTTCGAAAACAAAAAAAACATACTAGTTTGAACAAGAAGGTGAGGTGAGTCAAGTAACCAGTCATCACCTTTTGCAATTCTTTATTAGGTCTGTAAATTTCTGGACGAAAGAAATGCGGTATCAAAGCGTGGTATCAAGGTTTAGAGATGAAAAGGTAAGAGTTAAAAAACACATCTGGGCCCGGTTCCTTGAAGATGGTTAAGCTTAACCCAGGACTAAGCCAAATTTCATGAATGGTTTTCTCGTGTAACAACATGCACCTCGAGGTTACAAAATACTAGCCTTTACTACGAGATACAGCAATGATAACACAAAATGTTACACCCCAAGCAGTGCATAGGAATGTAAAGTACAAAAACAGATTACAAAATTTTAATCCTGGATTAACGCTAATCGGCCTTTCAGGAACTGGGCCCCGGTGGATACATTATTTGCTCTCAGCCCTCCTTATCATGTGGATATTTCAAGGTTTTCCAAATTCCTCTTTGCCTAGAACACTAATTTGGTGAGCAAAATTACGATTATATATCATGAAGTTCATTCATATCAATCTTGCAAAATGCCTCTCAGATTGTGCAATGAAGTAAGGAGAATAAATCACAGGAGTGACTAGAGACGTTGTCACAACCTTTTGGCAACAATTTTTTGCCTCGGCCTCTACTGGCGACAAAGACAAGGTTCCTTCCATTTGCCACGACTACCAAAAA